ATAGTTTGTGCAAGCTACATTTAGCTTGTAGCAGCTAGTTTGTGCAATCTACATTTAGCTTGTAGCAGCTAGTTTGTGTAAGATACCTTTAGCTAGTTTGTGCAAGATACCTTTAGCTTGTAGTAGCTAGTTTGTGCAAGATACATTTAGCTTGTAGCAGCTAGTTTGTGAATGATGCCTTTAGCTTGTAGAAGCTAGTTTGTGCAATACTTTTAGCTTGTAGCAGCTGGTTTGTGAAAGTTATCTTTAGCTTGTAGTAGCTAGCTTAAACGTAAACAAAACAAGTGTAGATTTGTTTTCTGTCGTTTTATTTTTTATTTAGTCCTCTAGAACAGCTGGCAATGGTTTTGTTAGCATGTTTGCATTTAAATAAAAAATATTTTTTTTTTTTGCTTTTGCTTATGTAAAATAGTTAAGTTAAAAAAAATTTCAGCCACCGCTAGAGTGGTTGAAACCTCGGCACCCCCTCAATTTCTATACAAAATATTTAAACGTACAAAGTTAAAAAGAAAATGTGTAATTTTAGAGCAAATATGTCATTTTCACGCCTACTATAAGACAGAATCCACAACATGAGAGCTTGCAGACAGACATTAGCCTGAACAAGTTTAATGTTGTAAACTTTAGTAGCAAATGTGACCTAAAGTCTGCAGCTGTCCAACTCCCAACAAACACCAGTCTACTGTAAAAAGATTACCGGTACCTAAGACTTGAATAGAACAGTAGCAGTGAATAGAAGTGAACTGAAGAGTGATGGCTTTCTTTACAGTGTAATATAAAGATAAAGTATTAGTAGTCCAGTTAGATCCATCTAGATTATTCAGTCATCTGTGCTGAGTGAGCAGTTCACTGACCTGCCGTCTGTCCTCTGGTGCCTTCAGGAAAAGAGCATTGATGAGAGCGATGGCATAAGTCTGGATTTCCTGGTTTGACCTGAGGAAATATCCAGCAGTGCAACAACCAGTTAGAAGCATCACGCTCCTCAAATACACCAGCATTTTCCAACTACAGACTAACTTCTACTTTTCATACAGTACAAGACAAGTTATCTTAGTTTTTTCATTATCGATGCAAATTCATGGAAGGTACGAGAATTTTTAGAAGCTTCTTCACTTTTCTTTCACACAAGCAGGTTGTTTATGCTACAAAGTAACAACAAGAATTTGGTTGGATTAGTAAATCTATACACATTTAATTTTTACTACGTAAAATAAAATAATAGAAATATATGGGAAGGACTACATCGACATCGACATAATTACCATTAATGTAAGTATTCACACAGCCTATTCATAAAAAAAGGGTCCAAGAACCAAACACATCAAGGCTAAAAGCCTCACAACACTTTCACCTCCTTCCACTCATATCAAGAGTTCAGGGAGTCCCTGTGCATGTGTGTGTGCTCACACTTGCAGGTGCCCGATGAGCTGTCCCACGGTGATTTCCTGGGCGACCCGATGATACAGGCTGTGGCTGTTCAGGACCATGCTCTCCAGGATGGCCAGGGAGCGCTGCAGGATGGACACGTCCACCATCGGCTGGTTCACATAGCCTGCAATCTGAGCATTGGACATGATAGAGTTAGTGTTAAACTAAAACTTACTGCATTGTTTATATATATGTGTGACTGTTGTAGTGAACCTGATCTGACCCTGATCTGACCCTGATGACCTCAAATCTATCAGATGGACAGAGACTGTTATTTCATTGATCTGAATACAGTTTGAGCCATCTGGTGACTTTCTTTCTTGAAGATTCAAGTGAAAAGAACACTCTCTTTCTTGAATTAATCAAGCAGAAAAGACAATTTTTATGATCATCACTGTTTTACAAATGTTTGATAATCAAATTGTGTTAGTTCACTCAATGTTACAGGTTGAAGAGAACTACTCATTTTTATTTTACATAAACAGTAAGTAATGATTTTTATTCCTCATTCAAAGAAGAAATCAGGTTAATATGCATTTCTTGATTTTTCTGTCTGCAATGTAAGTATGTTAAAGGTCGGTTTTCGGTCAACTAAAATGTTTACCGAGAAAGATGTCATGTTTAAACTTTTTCAGAAGATTATAAGTGTGAGACTCCACGAAGTCTGAAGTCCTACAATAATCTTTCTGTTCGTTACTAAACAATCCTTGATTTTTAATAACATCTTACATCATACACCACACCTCTATTCCTGGTCCATCGACCAATCAAAAGCTCTCAAATGAACCGGAAGTCGACCCATTTAAAATGTGGCAACTTCCCAGTTCATGTTAGGAGTCAAAGAGTTGAGAGGCTGAAGGAGTTGCAAGAAGCTGAGACGCTGAGTTGCTGGAGTTTGTTGGTCGCTGTGTTGCTGCACTCAGAAATGAGTTCAACTAGAGAGCGCACAGAGTGATGGAGTTAGAGCTCTTGGATGCAGACGCGTTCAGGATGATCCAGAGACGTTTTGGAATTATAATTTCTGTTTGAACACCACGCACGACTCTCGAAGGATTTCAGCTGCTCTCAACGGAGACGCTGAAAAAGTCTGAAGGATTCTATACCGACATTGAGTCATCGTCAACCAGGTAACAGTTTCTTCTTCGACTAAAGTGTACCGGAAGCAAGCTGAGATCTGATGGAGCGTGCACGTTCTGGTCACAACAGATTAATTCCCTCACATATCTCTCTGTAAGATAAATCTCCACTTCATCTTAAACTCTGCTTTCTCTTAAAATCAGTACAGATATTTTAGAAATATCTGAAGCAAAGTCCTCAATCACCGCCGCGTGATTGAAGCTCATTATTTGTGAAACTTGTCTGTTATTATTTTCATATTTTGCCAAATTAATGTAAATGTTTGATGTTAAACTTTGATTCTGAAAATAAATGGCCGCATTCATTTTGATGGGTCAAAGATAATAACGTCTCTCGTTTGCATTTCTGTTAAAATTCAATGCACGACATTACACAGTCAGAAAGATGAGGAACTCGTGAAAAAGTATGCATATATACCTCGTATATGTACTACTACACTGTGAAGGATGCAGAGAAGTTTAAGGAGAAAAATCCATTTAAGCAAAGACTGAAGGAGCTGCAGATAACACAGGAAGTCTCTACACAACATCGCCCACTCATTTCCAGCATTAGAGACAAAAGGAAGGTCAAACAAGAAAACAGAAGTGGGTGAATTAAAAAAAAAAAACTTGAAATTCTAAACAAAAGATATTTGTATAAAAGGACTGTGTGAAAAACATATATTCTTTTGGAGGGTAAGTACCTGCTTGATGAATGAGAGGGAGATAAGATCCCAGGACAAAATGCCATGATCCATCAGCTCCAGGAAAGCAGTGAGAGTGAAGGCCAACATTTCCCCAAAGCTCAAGGAGGAAAGTTAGACATAGTGCAGACTTTATCACTAAAATTGTTCATCTAAAATATACGCAACACATTTTCTTACTATATTATAAAGAAAGCCTAACTGAAAGCTTTAAAACAAAACTGACGCTTACTGGGTACCGCTCTCCACAAGGCGAGCCAGAGTCCCGATGCCCTCCATGTTTAAGAACTCTGCAGCAAACGTCGGGTCTGCAGACAGCTTAGCCAGCTCTTTTAGAGCCTCGAGGCGAGCGTCAATACCATGAGACTGGATCCTCTCCAGGAGCTGACGAGCAGCACGACCCTGTCAAACACCGAAAGCATCCCCATCAGCATACATGTCTGTGTGTGCAGACACAAGCAAAAACACTGACACCGTTTCTGCCTGACAAAAAAAAAAAAACAGACTAACGAGAGGTGCAAACCTTTAACAAAAAGCCAGAAATGTAAAACAGACAGATAAATTTTATGTATCGAGGACAGAAGTTTAACACCAACTGTCCTCAAAGAGACAACTACATTTATGTAAGCACGTCTAACTTACAGGGGAAATTGCTAATCGAAGGATGGTTCCGTTTTTAATGTCACCTCGGCTCTGGAAAACAAGAAGGAAGCGGTGCTTAAGTTCAGATTTAATTAAGTCTTCAATGAAAGGTGATAGATACAACGACTCACACCTGTTCGGTGATGTAAAGCTGAGGGCCGTCGGCATAACGCAGCGCAAACTGCTCTGAGCCTGACAAAGACCAGCTGAGGACGGAGAAAAAGACTCAAAATGAACATCGGTTCAGAACGACCGTCGGCAACAAAACGTGGGAATGTTTAACAACGCAAACTCCAGCATGCGTGAACAAAAGGTTGCTCGAGTCAGACCAATCCCTCCAGCAGAAAACCATTTACACAAGTGATAAACTGTGCAGCAGATCGTCATTCAGTGGGTGTTAACAGCAAAGAACAAAGAATTTTCTGCTACAGTTTTTAAAGAGAGGCAAGTGGGTAGATGCAGACCTGTAGAGAGATGGATGGGTCAGAAAAATTGCGATACATATCACTGAACTGCAGAAAAATAAAGGCCAAAAACAATCTGCAACTAAAACACCACATATTTAAAGAAGTATTACATAAGACATAATACTAAATGATAGGCTGGGCATATACACGGCTGTGAAAACAGCAAACATCTTCAGTTAAAGTGATTGTTCAGACCTTCTGAAGTGGGGCTCTGTGGAAAGGCCATTAACAATTAATATCTCACCTGTTGTAGATAATGTTGCAAATGTCATAGCAGTTTATATGAACCTTGTGTTATAAACCTTTACATCTCGTTCAGTTTTGCATTCAACAGTTATTCCACCAGAAATCAGATGACGTTTGTGCTGAAGTGCCTCCGGCTACTATAGAAGTAAAGATATTCAATGTTCATAGCCTTTCTGCAGAACCTTACTTCAAAAGATTTGATCTATTGCTTTACAGTCGTTTCCAACTTCAGTTTGTTCTTGTATCATACACAAGCACCTGTTTTACCATAGGACAGATATAAAGTGTGGGTCTTTAAATCCAGCAAACAACTCAAACTTTATCAAAAACTGAACAAATGCTCAGTCGACTATGGATCAAATTTAAAACTAAGATAGAAATGAAACAATTTTCCTCCTTAGCTGCTGTTTAACTCTGAAGCAGAATATAGAACACCACCTAAAGAGCATGCAGGCATAAGCAGGATAAAGAATTTATAGCAGGATATAAGCGTTTTCTCAAAGAATTAGCAGCTGAAAAAAAAAATTATAATAAATACAATTATTTGTAAAGTTTAAGAACATAGTAATATCGTAGTGTGTAGGTTAACAGCTGAGTTGCATATTGACTCACTTTATAGAACAAGTAGAGCGAACAACCATTTAAAAACATTTTGTACGGTACAGCTAGGCCTGTCACAATAACAAATTTTGTTGAGCGATTAATTGTCTCAGAAATTATTGCGATAAACGATATTGTTTGAAATTTGACAATTATTAGTAATTATTGTCAAATTTAAGAAAATTTTTTATTTTATTTTAAGTGTAGTGCCTTTTTTGACCAGCGGATGACAGTATAAGACTGTTTGAACCAAAGGATGGATAGTGAGGGAGCGAGCAGCGTGTCTCTTTAAGAAAAATGGGAGGGAGGCCCCTTGACGTGACATGGGCTGTCTCCCCTTCCTCTTTTTTCCCGGTTCTCAAAATGGCTGACGCTCGGTGTGGTTTGAGCTCTTTAGCATAACATTTTTCGCACAAAGCTTTTAATTAAAAAAAATCAGTACAACAAGTTCTCAACGTCTTTTTGCAGAGAAAAACAACTTTTTACACGAAGGCACGAGTTTCAACTGTGACTTTTGGAGCTTCGACAAGACGGAGACTTTTTCCCTGAGGTTGGCCTTTTAGCTTAGCTCGTAGCTTAGCTTCTCAGTTTAGCTGCTTTTAACGACCCAACAACACGATTTTGAATCGTTAAAACAGATTTTAAAGAGAAAAGAGAACGGGACGGGTCAGTGAAGAGCACCGGAGTTGAGCCTGTTGTCATCCAGTGTCTCCAGTAGAAAGAGACTAAGAAATGATAAAGCCGATAAATGAAAACGAGAGTGATCATTTTCATTTATCGTGAGCGTAATCGATTTATTGTTTATCGCGACAGGCTATGGACAGAATAAGATAATGGTTAACAAGTAGAATTAATAAAAATAATAAAAGAAAATATCCCTAATTTAATATTTTTTTCGTTACAGTCTTGCGGTGTACAACAATGTTCCATGTACATTAGCATTTTGCAAAAAATAAATAAATAACGTCAAAAAAAAAGTATCAAGTACCGTCGATACTCTAAGTATACTAAATACTTAGTCCAGATTAGGATGACATCATCTCTGCGTAGATTTAAATTTATCACGACGCTACATTAAAACGTAATACCTTATCATCATAATCCTGTCACATTTATTTTTGCCAATTTTCCAACCAAACTCATGCCGGAGACCATTTCATTTATCTGGAAATTTGCAGGAATAAAATGTAAAGTGTAATACTCACCCATCACATACTTCCCGAATTATGGAGGACAAAGGTCTCTTCTGCAAAAACAAAACAAACATGCAAAACACTAAAAGGCTGAAATTACAATTCTGTTTTGACCACTCATGCTGAAGTATCTTTTTTTATTATGAAGATAATTGCAGTTGGTGACCTTCAGGCCTTGTTTATACGAGAACGACCTCTGGAAACGTTTGTGTTTTTTCAGTGTTTATTGGGAGAAACAAACAAAGATCTCTTTCCTCGTCTAACCGTCACATTAGCATAATTAATTACAGCCACTTTTCACTCTACGTTCGTGTTTTTTTAAACAAAAAAAAAAACAACTTTAAGATGTGCGTCGTTTTTCTCTAACGCTCAACTTGCACTGTCCATCAGTGAGTTGTTCCAGTATTAGTCACACGCTGGGAAATCATTGAGTATTTTAGACAAACCCCACCTGGTCCATCTCTATGAGCTGAGCATTGGCACCGGGCCATTCAATGGCAACCTTCACAATGTCAGCTGGGGGAGGCATGGCTGTTTTATCATTCACACCCTACAGGAAAAAAGAAAAGAAAATCTGTTGATTAGAATCAACAGAGACATTTTGGGATATTAGCAACATTTCATGTTTGACTGGAACAATGCAGCTGCAGTGTGTCGAGGTAAAATAAAGGTGCACAATGTGGGAACTGGTTTGTTTGCTGGAAACGAGGTCTGGGCGACGACTCTCTTAGAATAAAAACAATGGTAAATAAAAAATAGCATCCTCAGTCCTGTAAGGAAATGGTCCCATCTTTCTGAAATCATAAACTCGAGTTCTATATTTGCCACGGTAAACTTTAGAATTAGTTCATCACACTGAGGAGGACTGCTCACTCTGGCTTAAAGAAGAAAACAAGAGGGATGCAAATAATTTTGTTACATGGCGACGACTTTTAACAAATTTAGTTTGGATAACAGAAATAAATACATATACAATTTTCTTCAAAACATATACCAAAGATTAAATATTTAGCTTAATGGTGAAATGCGATAAAATGCTTTGAAATGTTAAGCACCGTATCACAGAAAATTCTAGATGGCTTATAAGTCAATCAATATGAGTCGATTTAATTTGCATTAAACAATAGAATCTAAAAAAGTGGGGAAAAAAGAGATTTATATTTCATACAAAATCATAATCTGTTGGAATCAGTCTCCCCACCATCACAGACATCTACACCTCCAGATGCAGGAAGAGGGCCACCTGCATCATGAAGGACCCCACCCACCCAGCACACACACTTTTTGCCCCACTCCCCTCAGGAAGGAGGTTAAGGAGCATTAAGTGTAGAACCACTAGACTGAGGAACAGCTTCTACCCTGAGGCTGTTAGACTCATGAATATCTAACTAGAATAATCACTGTGAAAAACCATATCATGTTGCTGCTGATCTGTTTCATGTTGCTGCTGATCTGTTTCAATGTTGATGTGTTCATGCGTGCACATCTGCTCACAGACTCATGTTCATGTTTGTGCTGATGTTCAATGTTTTATGTTATGAGTGCTTAGTGTATATTTAGTTGATGTTTTTCTTAGTTCATATCTTAGATGTTATTACTGTTTTTCTTAGACATTTTATTGTTGGATGTAACTGGGACCCCGTGTACATAATTTCGCTCCACCACATGTACCACATGAGGTGCGAATGACAATAAAGAAACTCTGACTCTGACTCTGATAACAAAGTGACTTTTTTTTTTATAATTTACATTTTTTAATGTATATATGGATTCAAAATCCTGTGCCGGGCTTATTAAACAGAACAGGGCAGGATATTATATTTTACTTTAATTTACTGTTTATCTTCGTGCAGCATCTTCAAAACTATTTCAGTTTTTACAATCATTAAATATGTGAAGCCACATACTCCGTCTACTTACTCAGGCCTCACATTTACCACCAACTATTGCTGCTTAGAGTAAATTTATTTCACAACCTGTAACAACAGTTAGTTCAAAAGAAGAGAAATGTACCTCAGGGACTAGTTTTTGGCATCAGTGGAGATTTCTCTACTTTCCAACATGAAGAGAGCATAAAAACAAGGCTGACGAGTTTGGCTGATGATTTGAAGACAGTGTTTTGGACCAAAAATGAAGACATAGCTGCTCTCCAAAAGGGCTGTTTGGAGTCAGGTTGTAGTTATTAAAAAAAATAAACTCTTTGAACAGCTTACCGCTTTTCATCTGAGGGGGGGAATATTTACCGCCATGCTGGATTTAAGGAAACCCCGAGTGAAAAAGCTTAAACAACAGTGCGTCTTTGAGAATCAAGGGTGCTGCAGTATTTTTGAAGATTGCACCACATGCACACAAAACCCCAATTCAAAACAGCTGAATGATTTCTTTAAGCTACATTTTATTATTTGAGAGACTATGATTTACCTCTCCTGACAATAAAGTAAATTGTGTTATCACAGCCACAACATATAAGGGTTAAACTACCTTCCTATTTCCTACACACAAACATTTGTCCAAACTTTAGTCCCATATTGGATTTTAATTGTCTCGTTTGTCTTATGTGTCCCTGTGATGGGACTTGTGACCCGTCCAGGATGGCCCCTGCCTTTTGCTCATGGGACTGCTGGAGATGGGAACCAGCAGCCCCGCTGCGTCCCAGAAAGTACAAGCAGGTATTGAATATAGATGGATGGATTTTAATTACGCAAAAACTATGACAACAAGCATTTATGTTTATGCTATCGCAATACCAATCACATTTAATTTGTATTATTTTTGGAAAATGAATGAAATTCCCAACAGGAGCTGAAGGTAAATTCCTAAAAGCTGCAAAACTGTTGGTCAGCTATGATCAGATCATCACATTCAGAGCCCTGGACCTGCAGAAGTCCCCTGCTCTGGTGGAACTGATGCTGACCGTCACTGTGCAGTCCAACGATGCCAGGATGAGACCTCCCGGCTCCTTGTTTCCCCTCAAACTCACACATGTCTGATTAGCCATGTGTGGGGAAACCATGAACAGCATGAAGGTCTGCGCTGCTGATGAAGTGGCACATCTGAGCAGAAGATAAAGCTCTTGCTGCATCAGGATAACCACGCAGACAATATCCTTGACATTTTAAAATGTGATAAAATACTTGGCAAAATCACATCATTGTAAGCCTCGTTCTGTGACAGCACATATACAGACACTTGTAATCATGTTAGGTCATTTCCACAACCACTGGTGACCTGTCCAGGCTGTACTCTGCACCACGCCTGGGGACGCTGAGAAATGCTCCACGTCTCCGCGACACCCAACAGAAATAATCAGGTACAAAAACAAAAGGATGGACAGAATTTCATAACATTGCTAGAACAAAAGATTCTGAGGATTTTTAAATTATGTGCATATTCAATTAGTAAAAATTAAAAAAAAGCAAACTGCTCAGCTGAGTAAAAATGTAAATAAATGACCATTATATACAGCCATGCAATGACCTTGTTGATGGTTTTAAATCTAGAAAATCTGTTGAGTGTTCAGTACTGTAACTGTCATGTACTGCTATATTTATTCTTTTACTTTTTATCTTTAATAAAATAATGGCAAATTGATTGATTTATTTTTGTATATTTATTAGTTTAGGTTTTCAAATCTAATTATTTCAGGTTGAAAAATATGCTTTTATAAATGAAAACATTTTATATATATATATATATATATATATATATATATATTCAAATTTCCTTATTAAAAGTTTTTAGATTTGTACCAACTTGTTTTCTGATTAATTCATCATAGATTAATTTATGGGCCAAATTTATAATCTGGTTGTTCTGTTATTAATTCATTATTACTTATATTTATTTATATTATAAATAGATTTGCGTAAAAATGAGTCCATAAAGTCACCAGCTAGTGATCAACGAACCAAAAACAGCATCAAAACTTCCTAATAGACTTTTTTAAATAGAAATTTTCTAACAGGAATATGTCCATCCATCCATCCATCCATCCATCCATCCATCCATCCATTATCTTTACCCACTTCTTTCTTTTTTCAAATAGCGGGTGTCACTGGTCTGGTGCCCAAATCCCTTCATATACTGTTTGGTATCATTGTGAAGCTCGACGACTCCCCTTTATACATTAACAACTGCAGATCCCAATGAAATTACTCCAGACCAATAAAAATGGAGTTTTCAAACCAGCACCATCACAAACTAAACTAGCTTGTTGCTAACCAGGTGATAAATGACCAAAATTCAACAAATATCATTTTGAAGTTTTTGAGGTGGAGAATTTGAAAATTATACGTCAATATTGAAAAGTTCTTCTTTGTGACTCATTTTGCAGCATAGGTCACATGTAATAAATGACAAGAATACATGAAATTATACCAATTATTTAGTTCCCTTTAGTTTTTTTTTATGTAATTAAGCTCATTTTGGGACCTATTTTGTAAAGCATGGATGTTTTCAAATCAAATTGAATTTAGCTTTGATTAAAGCCTAAAAGATGTTCAAGAGATCTCATGAAAGCACCGTCTGCCCGTCCGCCGACATTTGAAACAATTATGTCATCCTGAAGCTTACATTTTTTGTCTCGGGTATAAAACCTTCAAGACCCGATTGTAGAGACTTTCCAACGGTCTCAGTTTAGTTTGGTGAGTCTGTGACCAGACAGGAGCTCCACAAGACCAATGTGAAAGAATCATTGAGTTTAAGAACTCCTCTGCACAATGAAGTGTCAAACATTTTCTAATAATTCTAAAACTATTTATGTTGAAATATAAACTTATATTATTGGTTCATATATGAGAGTCAGTGCCTCACCTGTCACAAAGCTCAAATTTGGTAGGGTAGTATCTGAGACCAACAAAGTCCATGCTCAATAATCCAGGTATACAATCCAACAATTTTCAGTCAGGTCATCTGAACAGTTTTTTTTTTTTCTTTTTTTTTTTTTTCTGAAACGTTTCACCTTCCATCCAGAAGGCTTCATCAGCCAAGGAAACACACAACACAAATCTGATTCTTCCCCAACAGCTTACTCCAAAGTGGAACAAACCAGTTATGTTGGTGCTAAGATGGTCTCTTTGGCACGCCCCCTCCTCCGGAGCCAGTCCTCTCCCGCGTCGATAGTCATGTCAAAATAGTTCAAAACCAACAAAGTCCATGCTCAATAATCCAGGTATACAATCCAACAATTTTCAGTCAGGTCATCTGGACAGTTTTTTATTTTTTATTTTTTTATGAAACGTTTCACCTTCCATCCAGAAGGCTTCATCAGTCAAGGCAACACACAACACAAAACTGATTCTTCCCCAGCAGCTTACTCCAAAGTGGAACAAACCAGTTATGTTGGTGCTAAGATGGTGTCTTTGGCACGCCCCCTCCTCCGGAGCCAGCCCTCTCCCTCGTCTATAATCATGTCAAAATAGTTCAAAACCAACAAAGTCCATGCTCAATAATCCAGAATTTTCAGTCAGGTCATCTGGACAGGTTTTTTTTTTTTGTGTGTGCTGGAATGTTTCACCTGGGTAGTAGCTGCGAGTCATTATCAACAAAGAGCCGATGCATTTGGTGAGATCTCGCAAGAAATTGCTCATAAAGTTTTATTTAATTGATCTTGTGGCTATGATTCAGACCCTCTCTCATCGTAAATGATCTTAGTCTTAAAACTCTGACAAGAAAGGTGATGGGTGCTACATATTTTCTTAATCTTGCTTTAATATTCAAAATGCCTCTTAAACAGATTGCTCGATTCAAAAATAATTTTAAAGCATTTCAGAAGTACGAGTAAACTAAAGCAGAAGTGGGTAATTAAGCAAGAAAGTACACTTGGTGGGGTACCATTTTTCTGAGTCTGTTGGGACTTCATGGACAGAACGTGCTCGTTTGTCCTCTGCTACATGTCAAAATGTCTCCTGCTGCGTTTCCATGGCGCTGGTGGCCGCCATGCTGAGGACAGTGTCACACTGAAGTGATGGGAACCGTCTGCTGCTCCCGGTCTGACTGGACTCGGCTCTGCCGCACGAGGAGGTTTTAATTCATGCGGGTTCAAGGCTGCACGCGCTGTCGCGGTCTCTTAGCAACAAAGAAGGAAATCCACTGTGTGGCCTCAACTCAAGACTTGTTTTTGTCCTCCAGCAGCAGCAGCTGCTTTTCATCACGACCCGGATGTTTCTGACGCCATTTTAACACACTTTTTTTTTTTTTTTATTTCATGTGGTGCGGACTGGGGGGCTCCCCTCCAGATTACTGGTTTTTAAATTAAAAAAAAAAAAAAACTTTCATCACGGGGCTGGATACAAGTTAAACACACGCAGCGCCTCCTCTGGTCACACGACGCTCATTAGTGCGCGGCTGCTTCGTGCACGGAACGGTGTAACGTTTAAAACGGTTTGAAGCCCAAACTGTTTACACCGTCGCTCGACAACAGTTACAGCGGTTGATGTCGCGCGCCCGCTAGCAGCAGGCTTTACCTGTTAGCATAAAACGCTGTGGTCTTGTGAAGCCTCGCTCCAGCCAAGTTGTGAAAACGTTTGAATTACAGGTGAACTGGATCGACGCTAATCGAAAAGAAGAAACGAGACTGATGCTGCAAAGGCTGCCGTTCTCATCATGACTCCTTTTCGGTGTCGAATCCCCGGTACAGGCACTGTGACAGATGTAGCTGAAGTGCCATTAAAGACTAACAGCGTTCTAAAGAGAGCTCCTGCTCCTCCGTCATCCATTCACTGCTCCTCCATTGCAGACAGGATGCAGAGGAGGCGGGTGGTGCTTTCTACATTCACCTTGTGTGTGTTTTTTTTAAAGATTACAAACCGCAGCTAATGTCAGCAGTTGGCGTTACTCACCCCGTTCCCGAGCCATCCACAGCCGTCTCATTATCTCCGGGACTTGTGGAAAAGGAGGCACGACTCCACGCCTTGTAGGCGGGACACGGTGGGAAATGTCACCGCGTGAAAATGAGGCAGACCCTTCCTCTTTAATTTCAGCTTCTCGGAACGATATTCCTGAAACGTTCAGCTAGAGCCGGTAAGTTCGGTTCGCTTTAAGGATTCGGGTTCATCCGAGTCATTCACTAAAACAATCCGCTTCTTCCTACTAAACAGACGTGGAATGGATCACCCAGGGGTGGGCAATTATTTTTTCCATGGGGCCACATGAGAAACAACAAATATTGTGGAGGGTTGGCACAAATGACATTTTCATTCAACCTTTATTTAGACAGGTGAATCCCCTTGAGCCTCGAGGACTCATTTACAAGAGAGACCTGATTTCAACTTAACTCAATACTGCATAATATTAACAGTATTTCATTACTAAAAGCAGTACATAGCACTGTTTTAACAAGCTGGTAAGAGTATTTGTTATGATTAAGCAACGAAAAAACGAGGTTTCCTTACAAAGAATGCCATTTATTCAATTAAATTTCCCAGTACAACTGTTAACATTTTTACCATTTGTGACGTTATATTAGTGATCATTTTCAGTCACATTCACCCCAAAACTCATTTTGAGTTTTATATACTGCTGGAAAAAGTTCTTAGCTTTCTAAATATATCACAACATTGTCTTTGTACTCCAAATATTATGAAACATCACATAATAGTGATCGTCACTGAACCGTGATTTCAAGTCCCGGTTCGTTACGTGCCTACATTTGTAGTCTAAACGTCTCGTTTGGTGTTTTTCAGTTCTTTTTTCTTGTTTAGTGAGAGAAGTTTAGTCTCTGTTGGGCTTTAACGGAAATGTTAAAGTCAGGTTGAAGGTCTGAGGTGGAGATGTGAAGCAAAGATGACATCATCAGTGAGAGAGGATCTATATCTGGATTTGGTTAACTTCATTTGTTTACATACGTATTTTGTAATTCCCCTTACGGGGGCCGGTCAGAGTCAACCAAAGGGCCGCATGTGGCCCTGGGGCCGTACAATGCCCAGGTCTGGTCTAGACCAATTCTGGACGTCTCCACGACGTGCAAACAAGGTCCACTCTGGACGTCTAACCACGACCTCATTTGTACGTCGATATAAAGTCGAATGTTTGAACGTCGGACTTGGAGGTCGTATAGACATCCAAAACAGGCGCAGGTGTGCCTTAGTGAATCATAATTTTTATAACCATAAAATTTACAATCATAATTTATAATCATAAAAGAGTAACTGTGCACAGTTTAAAAAAAGTGGATTGTTTTAGTGAATGACTCGGATGAACCGGAACTGTGCACAGTTACTCTTTTATGATTATAAATTTGCACGGCTTCATTCATAAACCAACTGTTGCTATTTTCTCTCGAAGCTATTTCTGTTAATCCAGTAAAGAGGATGAAGGGGAAAAAATTAAGGAGTGATTTATTTGTAAAACTTAAGTCCATCTGTTTCTAGTGACGTTTAAGGAGTGATGAAGTCAAGTTTATTTATAGAGCACATTTAAAACAGAACCTGTTATCAAAGTGCTTAACAACAGCAACAATCAATGAGTAAATTAACGAGAAAAATATATAAACATATATATATATACAATACACTAATAATAATAATAACTGAAGAATTAATAAAAAGCATTTAAAACATAGGGTCACAGATTAAAAAACACTAAATCAATTTACACTGTGTGAAAAGCCTGCGAGAACAGATGTGTTTTCAGCAGGATTTGAAGTGAGGAAGGGAGGTGTCCTGCCTGATGTTGGGGGGGGGGATGAAGGGAGGTGTCCTGCCCGATGTTGGGGGGCAGGATGAAGGGAGGTGTCCTGCCTGATGTTGGGGGGCA